TGCGGGTTTACTTCTCTCTCTCAGCGGGTTGGGAAAGGGGGTTGGCTGACTGGTTTAAACCCACGAGAATGGTGACGGGAAGACTGTAACGATGCACACAGCATGAAGGAGCAGGTGGATGACAGGAGACAGGCTGGATGGTAGGCTGAGGCAGGCTGACTAGTGTTCACTTCCACAGTCTGGCTTGGCTGGCTTAATTGCAAAATCCAGGTCAACCCCTCGGAGATTGAAGCAATTAGCACACGAACTAAGCCAGGAAGCTTGAAAACGGCTGCAACAGGCTTGCAGGCTGGAGTACACAGGGTGGTGGCCAAGACGGTTCACCTCTGACCTGCTGGCAACCCACAAACAGTCTTCTAACGTCTGAAATACCCTTAAATCCACGCCCACACCGGTGCCACCATTTGTCATGTGGGTTTTTTGATAACGTGGATGGGGTAAGAATACTCACGTAGGCTGGTAGTACGTATAATATAACAGAAAGTATGGGAAGGCACCAACAGCCGACCTGCCTCTCTCTGCTCCCTATCTTGACTGACTCACAAGTGTCTACAGTGCGAGGGTGTTTGAAATCCTGCTATGGTCAGCAGCAATATGAATACAGTCAATGATTCACACAGACGGTTGGTAGTGAGTCATCTACTGGTACACTGGTTACTGGTAACTGGTTACTAGGAACTGGTACTACTACTGAGATTAGTGTACAGCAGTATTCCAGCTTAGAGAGCACAAGCGATTTGAAGAGAATCATCATGGGCTTGGCATCCCTAGTTTTGTAGGTTCTCATTAACCGTCCTATCATTTTTCTAGCAGATGAGGTAGATACATGGTTGAGGTCTTTGAAGGCGAGATCCTCTGATATTATTACTCCTAGGGCCTTCACATTACCTTTTTGCTCTATTATTTGGTTAGAATTTGTCATATACCCTGGTACATTTTTAATTTCCTCAAGTTTTCCATATCTGAGTAGAAAATTTCTTCTCGTTGAACTTCATATTGTTTTGAGTGGACCATTTGAAAATTTGGTTGATGTCCGCTTGGAGTCTCGCAGTGTCTGCGATGGAGGTCACTGCCATGGTGATCCGGGTGTCATCTGCAAAGGGAAGACACGGAGCTATGGCTTACATCTCTGTCTATGTCAGAAATGAGGATGAGGAATAGAATAAGAGCGAGTACTGTGCCTTGTGGAACAGAGCTTTTTACCATGACTGCCTCAGACTTTGCTCTGTTTACTATTACTCTTTGTGTTCTGTTTGTCAGGAGGTTGTAGATCCAGCTACCAACTTTTCCTGTTATTCCTTTATCCCGCATTTTGTGTGCTATTACACCATGGTCACACTTGTCGAAGGCTTTTGCAAGGTCTTTGTATACTACATCTGTATTTTGTTTATTTTCTACTGCATCCAGGACCTTGTCATAGTGGTCCAGTAGCTGGGACAGGCTGGGTTAAGTAATTGTTGGGTATCAAGGTGGTTGGCAATCTTGCTTCTTAGAACCCTTTCAAAGATTTTTATGATATGGGATGTTAGTGCCATCGGTCTGTAGTTCTTTGCAGTTGCATTACTGTCACCTTTTTGGAGTGGGGCTATGTCTGTTGTTTTTAGTGTGTGTGGGATGACCCCTGTGTCTATGCTCCCTCTCCATAGAATGCTGAAGGAACGCAATAGGGGCTTCTTGCAGTTCTTGATGAACACGGAGTTCCATGAGTCTGGGCATGGGGCAGAGTGCATAGGCATGTCATTTATTGGCTTTTCAAAGTCTTGTGGAGTTAGAATTATATCCGAGATTTTTGAGATGACCAGATTTTGGGTTTCGTTCATATAGAATTCATTTACATTGTCGACGCTTAGCCTGGGGGGGAGTGGCTCGCTGAACACTGAGTCATATTGGGACTTTAGAATCTCACTCATTTCTTGGCTGTCATCTGTGTATGTCCCATCTCGCCTAAGCAGGGGCTCAATACTGAATGTTGTTTTTCTCTTAGATTTGGCATAAAAGAAGTATTTTTTTTTCAATTTCCTTTATGGCTTTTAGTTCTTCCTGTGATTCTTGTCTCCTGTAAGATTCCTTCAGCTTAAGTTCGATATTTGCAATTTCATTGACTAGTGCTTCCCTTCGTATTTCAGATATATTGACCCCACTCAGCAGCTCTGTGACTCTTTGCCTTCTTCTGTATAGGGAGTTTCTCTCTCTTTCTAGTTTGCATCTTCTCTTTCTTTTTCTTAATGGAATGTGTCTTGAGCAGATCTCAAGAACCACAGAATTCATTTTTTTCAAGGAAATGTTTGGATTCGAGTTCTTTAGGATATCTTCCCCGCTTGTTTCATTTAGGACATGGTTTACTTGATCCCATTGTATGTTTTTTTTATTGAAATTGAATTTCGTTAAGAGACCTTCATGACTGCTCACATTTTGCTGGTCAGGAGCCCTATGCATGCATGTCTGTACCTCTATTATGTTGTGATCTGAATGTATCGTCTTTGATACGGTTAGGTTACGTATCAGAACATAGTTGTTAGTGAAAATGAGGTCCAGCATATTTTCTAGACTTGCAGGCTCTACTATTTGCTAGTTTAAGGTGAATTTGGTGCAGAGATTTAATAGTTCGTGAGTGTGTGAATTTTCATCTGAGCTGCCTCCTAAGGTGATCTCTGTTAAAACATTGTTTGCTATACTCCTTCATTGTAGGTGTCTCAGTTTGAAATCTCCTAGTAGTAAGATGTTTGGGGCAGAAGTTGGGAGATTTTTCCAGACAGTGGTCAGTTTTCCCAAGCTGCTCCTGGAATTGCTGGGAAGTTGCATCTGGAGGCTTGTATACTACCACAATGACAAGGTTTTGGTTTTCAATCTTTTCCACCAAAACTTCAACTACTCATTTCAGGTGTTTAGTAGTTCTGAGCAAATGAGGCGACTCTGTGACATACAGGCCAAGCCCCCCCCCCCTCCATCCTTGTAGCTTGTTTAGTCTGTCGCGTCGGAACAGGTTATAACCTGGGATCCATATTTCGTTGTCATAATGATCCTTTATGTGGGTCTCTGTGAATTCTGCAAACATTGCATTTGACTCTGTGAACAGTCCCTTGATGTAAGGAATTCTGTTGTTTTTTAACGGCTTTAGACCCCGTATGTCTTTATGTTGGTGGAATTTAGGTTTTTTTATTTGCTGGCTCTAATATCTGTTGTTCTGGAGTGGAGGCCAATGTCCGTACCTCTGCTCCAGAAGTGTTTTCAGTTGGTGTAGGATTTTTTGTCATTTCTTGCCAGTCTTTTTTGACTCCTGTCCTGTCTCCTGTGGTGGTGGTGTTGAGAGTAGTGGTAGCCCTGGGGGTGGTGAAAGCAGTGATTGTGATGGTGGTGGAAGCATTGATGATTGTAGTGGTGGCTGCAGCAATGATGGTGATAGTGGTGGTTGTGGCTGCAGCAGCGATGGTGGTTGTGGTAGTTGCAGTAGTGATTTTGGGTGTGGTAGTTGAAGCAGTGATGGTGGTTGTGGTGGTTGCAGCAGTGACGGTGTTTGTGGTGGTGTCGATCATGAACAGACATCTAAAGTTGTGTCATCATCAACAGGTACTGGTGGCTAAGGTGTGAGAACAGCCCACTAACAATGGTGGGCATCCAAGACATGACCCTGTCACCTGCATCATCACAGTGTAAGGTGAAGAATATAGAAATCTACTCCGAAGTCACCTTCACACTACCCCAGGAGGACCAGCTGGTCACCCTGGCTAAGACAACACTCAACTGTGACTTAACTAAGTGAGTGTCTGAGTTACTTGTGTCATTATCACCTTGATAGTAGCTGCTGCTGCCTTCATGATAGATCTGCTGCTGATGCGTTCATTGTAGCTGCTGCCTTCGTTGTAGCTGCTACCTTCATGGTACCTCTCATATTTATGATAGCTACCATCATGGTAACTGCATGGTAGCTGCTATTTTCTTATTTTTATTTTATTAACCCATCGGCTGTTTCCCACCAAGGTAAGTGTGGCCCGAACAAGAAAGACTTTCACCCTCATTCACGCCATCACTGTCCTGCCACAGGCCTGCTTACACTACAGTTATAAAACTGCAACATTAACAACTTTCCTTCAGAGTGCAGGCACTGTACTTCCCATCTCCAGGACTCAAGTTTGGCCTGCCGGTTTCCCTGAATCCCTTCATAAATATTACCCTGCTCACACTCCAACAGCTCATCAAGTCCTAAAAACCATTTGTTTTCCATTCACGCTCACGCATGCTTGCTGGAAGTCCAAGTCCCTCGCACACAAAAAGTCCTTTACCACCTCCCTTCAACCTTATCTAGGCCGACCCCTACTCACATTCCCCCCACTACAGATTTATACACTCTCGATGTCATTCTATTTTGTTCCATCCTCTCAACATGTTCAAACCACCTCAACAACCCCTCCTCAGCCCTCTGGATAATAGTTTTGGTAGTCCTACACCTCCTAATTACCAAACTACGAATTCTCTGCATATTCACACCTCACATTGCACTCAGACATGACATCTCCACTACCTCTAGTCTTCTTGTTGCAACATTCACCACCCATGCTTCACACCCATATAAGAGTGTATGTATCACTATACTCTAATACATTCCCCTCTTTACTTCCATGGATATAGATCTTTGTCTCCACAGACTCCTCAGTGCACCACTCACCCTTTTTTTACCCCCTCGTCAGTTCTATGATTCACCTCATCTTTCATTGACCCATCTGCTGACACCACTACTAAATATCTCAATACATTCACCTCTTCCATACTCTCTCCTTCAGTTTGATATCCAATCTTTCTTTACCTAATATTTTTGTTACCCTCATAACCTTACTCTTTCCCATATTCACTTTTAATTTTCTTCTTTTACATACCCTACCTAAACTCATACACCAACCTCTGCAACTTCTCTTCAGAATCTCCCAAAAGCACAGTGTTATCAGCAAAGAGCAACTGTGACAACTACCACTTCGTGTTAGATTCTTTATCTTTTAACCCACATCTCTTGCCAACACCCGAGCATTCGCTTCTCTTACAACTCAATCTATTATTATATTGAAAAAACTCTGGTGATATCACACATCCCTGTCTAAGGGTCTAATTTTACTGGGAAATAATCTTTCTTTTCTCCTACATACTCTAACCTGACCTCACTATCCTCGTAGAAACTAGCCACTGCTTTAAATAACTTCCTCCTCTCCCATACATTTGCAACATCTGCCACATTGACCCCTGTCTACCCTTCACACGCCTTTCCAAATCCATAAATGCAACAAAAACCTCTTTACCCTTATGTAAATACTGTTCACGTACATGTTTCACTGTGAACACTTGGTCCACACACCCCCTACCTTCCCTAAAGACTCCTTGTTCATTTGCTGTCCTACTCTCCGTCTTACTCTCCTTACAATAATAACTCTACCATACACCCTCCTTAGCCATTGATATAAAAGGTATTCTTCTTTACCCAAATAATCAATGTAACTAAGTTGGTGTTTAAATTTCTAAACAAAATGAATATCTCATATAAATTTCCGCATCCTCTGAAATACTGGCTACAGCAGGTACAAGAAGAAATCTACGTAGATGAGATTAAATTAATGATGGAAGGAAAATTGTGAAGGGTTCAGTAATAGAGAAAATAGGGCTGTATTTAGAGCATGATGTAATTAGGTACAGAGTAGGTTACAAAATGCTGAATTGGGTGAATATGCTAAACACCCTAACTTGCTGCCCAAAACTCATCATCTGACAATTTTGATTCTTTTAAATGCCCATAAAAATGTAATGCATACCATACCCACGGCCGGGATTTAACCCGCGGTCATAGAGTCTCAAAACTCCAGCCCGTCGCGTTAGCCACTAGACCAGCTAGCCACAATAAGATTCATCCAACTAGGTATATTTCTACACCATAGGAAGGTTAGCACAGGCACCTCTGTGACCACAAATGCAAGTTTGGATGAATCTTATTGTGGCTAGCTGGTCTAGTGGCTAACGCGACGGGCTGGAGTTTTGAGACTCTATGACCGCGGGTTCAATCCCGGCCGGGGGTATGGTTTGTTTGCAATCGTGTCATTACGATTTCTTGAGTCATGTTGACGGCAGTGAAGGGACTTGAGCTAGAGTTCGTCACGGCCACGCTAGCTGGAGATTCGTCTGTAAAAACTTGCATTTGTGGTCACAGAGGTGCCTGTGCTAACCTTCCTATGGTGTAGAAATATACCTAGTTGGGTGAATCTTATTGTGGCTAGCTGGTCTAGTGGCTAACGCGACGGGCTGGAGTTTTGAGACTCTATGACCGCGGGTTCAATCCCGGCCGGGGGTATGGTATGCATTACATTTTTATGGGCATTTAAAAGAATCAAAATTGTCAGATGATGAGTTTTGGGCAGCAAGTTAGGGTGTTTAGCATATTCACCCAATTCAGCATTTTGTAACCTACTCTGTACCTAATTACATCATGCTCTAAATACAGCCTATTTTCTCTATTACTGAACCTTCACAATTTTCCTTCCATCATTAATTTAATCTCATCTACGTAGATTTCTTCTTGTACCTGCTGTAGCCAGTATTTCAGAGGATGCGGAAATTATATGAGATATTCATTTTGTTTAGAAATTTAAACACCAACTTAGTTACATTGATTAGTTTGGGTAAAGAAGAATACCTTTTTATATCAATGGCTAAGGAAGGACAAACTATTGAGCGGTGGAACAGTAATTTCAACAGGAGCAATATATGCCTTTTGTACAGGCCAATTAACTTTAATTACCAACCAGCTCGGTCCTTTAACCCATAATACAGCATTTACAAATTTAGCATAAGGTAAACCTCGAGACAAGAAATCAGCTGGATTCTCCACACCAGGTATATGATTAAATGTTAACATATGCTGACCCAAACTATTATACTTCTCTTGCATCTGATTAATTTCAGTGACTCTGTTTTGTACGTACACAATTTTACTGTTTCCATTACGAATTCATTGTAAGGATACCTCATTATCAGACCAAATTACAGTTTCTCTAATATTTATCTCCTGCAACTTATTTCTTATATAATTAGCTAATTTGACACCTACATAAATGGCTCTAATTCCAACTGAGGTAAAGTACGTGATTTAATTGGAGACACTTTATCCTTAGACATAACAAGAGAAATAACACTATTACATTGAAGATAAGCAACTGCTCCATATGCCAAATTTGAAGCATCACAAAAAATGTGGAGTACATTTTTCCCATCTGGATTGGCCACCTGGCGTGGGAACTCCAACATTGGAATTTTTTCATAATCACCAATTAATTCATCCCACCTGTTAATGAATTCCTCAGGTAGAATTTCATCCCAAGCACATTTAAGTTTCCATGCTTCCTGAATTAATAATTTCCCTCTTATAGTAAGGGGTGACACTAAACCTAGTGGATCAAAACATTTGGAAACTTCAGCAAGCAAAACTCTCTTAGTAAATTTATTGGGCATTCTGTAATTATTAGGTTTTAACATTAACAAATCTCTCTCAGTATCCCAAGTTAATCCCAATACATTACTACATTTTGGTACTTCATCTCCAGGGTAATCTTTACTTATTTTGTCCTTTAATTTGGACGAATTACTATTCCATTCCCTCAGAGGCATATTTTTGCTTTGCATTATTTTATTCGCCTCTTCATATGTCCTCATCAGTTCCTCTTCAGTTGACGTCACAGCCCAGGAAATTATCCACATAAAATTGTTTGCTCATAACTTCACTCAGTTGACTACCTGTACATTTAAGATGTGCAGTTATCGTCGCTTGAAGTAGGAACAGACTGGATGTACCACCAAATATACGCTACTAAAGCAAAAGGTTTTTCAGAGGGCTAAGTGGGTCACTAGGATTCTCAGGCCATAAGAAGCTGGTACAATCCCGGTCAGCCTCTTGTAAACCCACTCTTAGGAAAGCTTTACTTATGTCAGCAGTAAAGGCATAATTCTTCACCTAAAATTTAACAGTGTAGTATCACTTAATTTTTCCATCAACGACGGACCTCTGCCTAGTTTAACTAGGCACATTTTTACTACTCTTGGCACTACAATTAAACACAATTCTAAGGGGAGTAGTTTTAGAATCCTTTTTAACTCCATGATGTGGTAAATAATGATCATAAATTTTTGCTTGCTCAGGAGGTACCTCCTATATAAATTTATTAATTAACTGCTCATTAATTATATCATTATAAACAGTTAACAATTCTGGTGTCTTACTCAGTTCGCGGAGCTGAGCCTTTAATTGTCCATATGCCATTCTGTAATTAGTAGTTAGTTCTGGATCGTTCAGCTTCCACGGGAGTCTCACCCAGTATTGTCCAGATTCAAATTTAACATCCTTCACGTATTATTCCTGACTAAAGGAATCATCTGGACTTTCTTCATTTACATTGATTCCGATGCTCCAGCTCCCATAATTTATGCACTGGCTCAACACCATCCATTATGGAAAAATTATACTGGGCACGATTTCATGAGTAAGACAGTGACAGTATTTATAGCTTCCTCTAGTCATTCATTATTAGTACGAGGAATCCTACCATACATTACATGATCTCCTGCAGTCCTTAGAAGAGTGACACCACATTTCTTTACCATACCTTTTACAAAGGAGGCATAATAGGCACTACCTATCAAAATATTTACTGGTCCCACAGAGTCGCCATTTACACCAAGAGGTGCTAAATTTACATAACATGAAAGCCTTTCAGTAGCTTTGCTAAGCC